GCACCAGGTCTGCGCCCCTGGAGCAGAGGTTCTCAAAGGTGGTCTGTGCACAGCTGGCAGCTCTCTGGAGCCTGGCAGCTCTTCCTGGCTTCCCTCTGCCAAAGCAATGGTTGGAATTGCCTTAAGCGTTCGCTGAGATCCCAGACGGGAGGTGGGTGGGGCTGCGTGATTGCGAATGGAGGGGGGAGACTTATGACCGCTGGGCTAGCAGCCCCACTCTGGTCTTGTGGGGTTCCCCTCAGGTGTTAGGCAAAGTCATGAAGCCCATCGCAGGCTGTAATTCCACGTTTCTCTCTCCCTGTGTATGACCATGCTTAGCCAGCAGGGCTAGCCGAGTTCAGACACCTGGGCGCCTCCCTTCCAGAGTGTGCGACCAGGGGGGTTCAGTGACCAACCCACCTGCGGCTGATCTTAACAGTGGGAACAAAGCTTCTTCAGAAAGGAGGGTTTTAATTCAGCTGTCTCCATGCATGTCTGTGGCTCGCCAGCCTGACCCTACTAGCTTCTTCAGACCCCCCGGCAGGTGTCTGAAGTCTGGTTCCCCCCAGGAACTACCCTTCTCGTGACAGCAAGTCCCTTTTGAACTGCTCTCGTCCTTTTGTGCTTCTGTGTTCCCACACCGTGACCCTTTTGGACAAAGCCAGTCCCGTCGGCTCAGCTGGACTCGGGCCCTCAACAGCCCCCAGGTGGTGTCTGAGCGGTGGCATATCTTGAGCCATTTTTTCACTTCTGGCTTCTGTTTCCTTACCGCCCCTTATCCGACTAGAGCAGTATGCGGTAGTGCCCTGGCAACCAGGCCAGCAAGCAGTGTTGGTAGATTCGTGCAGAGTAGCAGCACGGCCAACCCAGAAACATTTGGAAGAAATTGCCCTAGAGTCCACGTGGTAGAAACACAGCTCTGCCGGCGATGGCTGGCAGCCCAAACGTCTGTGTCTTTGAAAGGCAATTCTGAGAGGGCAGCTGGGGTCTTTGTGCTTCCCCAGACCAAGCCCTGAGGAGAGAAAGGTCCGTCCCCTTACAGTCCTGTCCCATCACTGATGCTGAGATGAGCGTACAAATGCACAGTGGCCCCCAGATGCTGTATTAATGAGGTTTGCCCCTTCCCCAAGATGATTAATTGCAGAGGGACGTCCGGGCAGTGGGGCAGTTAATAGGCTGTGCAGGAGACTGAGCCTCATTGCGAGCGGATGCATGGTCTCGCAGACGGGAGCCAAGGCCACTCAAGCTCTGGCTCCGATAGTGACGCCTGCCGCAGGAGGTCAGAGAAGGGGATTCCGATGGACCCTTCTGGCCTTAGGATCCAGTGTAAACGTGCTTATGCCTGGTGCGTCACAACTCGCTTGGTGCATTTCACAGAGCGGCAACAAGGTAGCGCTGCGAACCACCGCCCTGGAGAACACGTCCATCAAAATTGGTCCGGCTCGGAAGAACAGTTCCAAGACCAGGATGGCCAGGAGGAGTAAGAAAAGTAGAAAAAAGGACAGTCAGGACCGGTGAGTAGCAATAGACGGGGGACTTCCTTTAGCGGGCTTCTCTGAGGAGCTCTGACGAGCAGTCGGCATGCAAGCCCTGAAATACGTTGGGGGCCATGAGTTTATTCACCTAAGCTGTGTCTAGACTGGCAAGTTTTTTTGCTTTTGCGGAAAAACTTGCCAGCTGTCTACACTGGCCGCTTGAATTTCCACAAGAACGCTGACTTCCTACTGTCTGAAATCAGTGCTTCTTGCGGAAAAACTATGCTGCTCCCATTCGGGCAAAAGTCCTTTTGCGCAAAGCTTTTGCGCAAAAGGGCCAGTGTAGACAGCTCAGATTTGCGCAAAAAAGCCCCGACCACGAAAATGGCGATCAGGGCATTTTTGCGGAAAAGCGCGTCTAGATTGGCACGGACGATTTTCTGCAAAAAGTGCTTTTGGGAAAAGCGTCCGTGCCAATCTAGACGCTCTGTTCCGCAAATGCTTTTGACGGAAAACTTTTCCGTTAAAAGCATTTGCAGAAAATCATGCCAGTCTAGACGTAGCCCTAGAATGGGAAAGGAATATATCTAAACACTGCCTCCATCAGGCAGCTCCTCTAGTTAGTGAATGTGACTTCTCGCCTGCCGAAGACCGGCACCTGCATCCCCTTGCTTCACACAAACACGGGTGAGAATTGACTCCTTGATGCTACAGACCCTGGAAATCCCATGTTCTAATGTTGGTCGACGTCTCAGTGAAACAGGCTGTGACTGTCCAGGGCAAAGAATACAGGTTTTTCCCTTTAAAATGCTCCGGGTGCTAATGGCTGCTGCAGCTGTTCATATTAAGGCTCCGGTTTGAGCTTGTTGGCCGGGCTGGCTCTTTGCAGCTTGCTACGGAATATTTTTATGAGGCGTCTTGTGTCTGACGTGGCAATGCAGTAAATTCCTTTCCCCTTTGTTCCGAGTGTGCAGAGTCCTGAGGTGTTCAGAGTTCTTGGATGAACCCAGCCTCTAGTTGTAGCACTCCCTAGACAACTGAACTTGGGAGAGGGCTTGTGTTGCGATGCCCAGAGGGAATAAAAAGAGGTTTTGTGCAGGTCCCCTCCATGTAAATCCTGCCTGGCTTTGTTCTTCCCAAAGGAGAAAGTGCCTTTTCAAAAAGATCTCCAAGCAAACAACTGTCCTGCACACCAGCCGGAGCTTCTCTTCTGGCCTCCATCACTCCCTGTCGTCAAGCGAGAGCCTTCCAGGATCTCCCACGCACAGTCTGTCACCGGGACCTACAACACCCTGCCGCAGCCCTGCTCCAGACCTCCCACTAGGTAGGAGGTGGTTCTGAACACTTGCCCAGCTATGGCTTCTATTACATGGCCTGTAAATCATGAATACCAAAGCCCCCGGCATGCTGGCTTGCCCTGTGCTATGCCTGTTCCAGGGGTGTGTGCAGGTGGCTGCATAGCATGTGCCCTCAGGTTACTCCTGCTTGGGCTTGAGACACGGCTGGGTCGTCGGCCTTTGCTCTGGGGTTTGTGGATGCTCAGCTCCTACTCCTTGTATGCTGACTTGTACCGATGGGCGTCTGTCACTCGTGCGTTTATGGCAACGGTACTTTGTGCCCAAGGGCTTGTCTGCTCCAGCTCCTAACTTGCCTCTTGAAAGGTATCCAGACAGGTGGAGGCTCATGGCGACTCTTGGGCATAAACTTCCTGAGTTGAATGAACATTTCCCTGGAAATTCATGGGAAGAGGCCAGGAAAGAGAAGCACAAATTGTATAGCGTGGGGTGGAATATTAGGAGGGGAGCACGTGGGCAGCTGCAGTTGCAGCTGGGTTCGTGTGCAGTGATTGGAAGTGAGGTGTGTGTGAGGGGGGGAGTGTCCCTCCCTTCCCCCGCAACTTGCAGTGCTCCTCAGAGTATGGTGGCCAGGTTCCATTAAGTGGCTTGATTTGGCCGACACCTCATTCAAACCCACCATATATGAGGTGGGTGCTGGAAATGCTGATCTGGCCTGAGCCCTGTGATGTGTCGAAAATGGGGGGATTGTGTTTTCTCAGGTGTGTTGATCTCTCTCTCTCTCTTTGTGATGTGTCGGGAATGGGAGGATTGTGTTTTCTCAGGTGTGTTGATCTCTCTCTCTCTCTCTGGCAGATTCGGTCTCCCCACAGAGCACCTCCCCGTCCTCGAGCACCCCCACCTCCCCTGCAGGACACATCCGGCCGAGCTCTCTCCATGGGCTAGTGCCAAAGCTGAGTGGTCAGCGTTACAAGGTGGGGCGCCGCAAGTCCACCAGCAGCATACCCCCATCTCCCCTTGCATGTACGCCTTCCTCAGTCCCACAGCCGCCTTCTCCCCAGAGGTCCCCATCGCCACTACCAAGCTACACCAAAAGCGTTCATTCCTTTCAGGGCAAGACTCTGTCCCCCCCGACCATTGTCAGGCAAGTGTCTCGGCCCAGGAGTGCCGAAGGCCCCAGGTCTCCTCTGCTAAAACGAGTGCAGTCGGCAGAGAAAATTGCTACCTACTTAGCAGAAAAGAAAACCATCAGCAACCGGAAGCTCACTCTGGACATGCCTCCAGGAGATGGGATGGGGGAGGCTCTGGGAGAGCGGGAGACTCTTATCCAGGCAGGGGAGCTCTGTGCTGGGGCTTACCCGGGGACCCCCCGAATGAGAGACTGGACGGGGGACAGGCACGACCGTGACCAGGAGGTCGTTGTCATGAGGAGGCTGAACCTGTCGGAGCGCAGGGACTCCTTTAAAAAGCAAGAAGCTGTCCAAGAAGTGAGTTTTGATGAGCCAGAGCTGGTGCCTGTGAGTGAAGATGGCACAAAAGTAGAGGCCAAGCCAGACAGGGAACATGCGCTGTGGAGACGCGCCCCTCATGCAGCTTCCTGGGTGGAGACCAAACCAAGGTCAGCGTCTTGTAGCTCTACTCCAGAGCCCCCAAACCCAGAACAGATGCCGACGGTGGTGCCCCAGATAGCAGTTCAAGGGTCAGAGAGCGATGAGCAGGAGACGCACGCTGCCGAGTGGGAATGCCAAGGGTCCTATCCTATCCAGGTGATGGCCAGGGTTTATACTGAACAAACGGATGGAACTACAGCAGTGGAATACAAGAGCGTCTCCTGCCAGTGGAAAGAGAACAGAGAGCAGAAAGAGCTTCTCGCTGGGCAAGAACCCTCACCAGCTTCTGGATCCCCGCATAGGACATGTAGTAAGGACCTGGCGGGCCCACCTCCGAAGCTGGAGTTGTGGGGGAGCTTGGGAATGGAAGAGCACGAGTGCACCGAAGCTGAGGTGCCCAGAGCGCACCAACAAAAGACGCGCAGTCAAGCCCCTACAAAAGTCAAGGATGAGTGAGTCGCACGTTGAGCAAAAGGCACTGGCTAAAGGTGAACAGGCAACCAAGTGACAGGGCTTCAACGCTGCCCGCATTCCCGAAGCGATCAGCTTCCAGAAAAAGCACATCTGTGCTGGAGACCGGCACCCCCCCTAGCTGCTGAGATACGCTCTTCAAATTACACACCTGCGTTTTGTGAGAGTCAATGCCTCGGAAACGTTTTTAACGCCAGACCTGTCAGTGGGGTGGGGAATAATTCGACACATTTACTTACAAAAGGTTTTTGTATTAACTGGGAAGATGTTCATATTTTTGTAGAGCTAAGGACGCTGTTTTGTTCTGATGGTGTTTCCTCAGCAGGACCTAAAGCATTGTAAATAGAAAGGACAAGACATGAATCCTTACCACTAATTTATTACTTTTATAAGCTAAGAGGAGGCATCTAAGGTGATCTAAACTGACTTGTGCTAGGGGAAGCATTACTGCTGTTTTGTGAGTGTTTATAATCCCACCTCTGAAATGCATTGTATGTGTTCTGTCATTTCTAAGAAGCACTAGTTTTTCCCCCTTTTGTTAATGTCAGTTTCAGGTGGCAGGGCACGAAGAAAACCAACCAGAGGCAAGCTTTAAAATACTATTTTTGGTAGGGATATGCACAGCGGGGCATGTCCCAGTGCTTTGATCTTCATACAGGTGTCTTATTCTTCACAGAAGAGCTGGTCTTCATTGGAGGAAAAAGCGTAACTTTGTAATGATGGGATTCCTGTTCCGGAACAGACCAGTGGTTCATCTAATCTAGTACCCTACTTGCTGATGCCAGATGTCCCCAAGTTAGGCATAAATTTCCCTCTCCCCAGTGTGTGTGTGGGAGGGGGGGAATAATTTTTGCTTTGGTGTTTTATGACAATACCCGTGTGATTGATGCCCAGCGGGAATGTAGGAATCCAGTATTACAAATCCCAGACAAACCTTGTTGAGCAGTTTCCATACCCTGGCCATGTGCTGTCACTGGCAATGAACCTATGGCCCCCAGAACGTTGTGTATACGTCTCAGACAACAGCACCCCTT